AAGCTTTTTGTGCGGGCCATGTTCAATTATATTTTCAGAATTTGCTGCGGGCCAATAAAAACTGGCAGTTTGGACAAGAAGTTCTTGATGATTTTGGGCTAAAAAACAAATATAACATAGGTCTAATAATTTTTTAGTTGAGGTGCTGCATGTTTGGACAATTATTCCATCTGGTCCTGGATGGTGTGCAGCTGGAAGAATTTTTTGGTTTCTCTTACATGTTTACTTCTGGACAGTTATTATGATATGTAACAGTAGCAACAAACTATTGTTTTTACAAGTGGGAGGAATTGCTCAAATAACACCTGAACTATGACACAAAATTCCAGAGGAGGTGAGAAGGAGGATCATGGATCCAGAGTAGAGCGAGGTGAAAGAAGTTCAAAGGAAGTTCCTTCCATCATAATGGGGAAGGACTCAAACTCCTACCTCCATATCTCTGCCTAACTATTTTATTTTTTTTATTTTAAACATCTTTTTTGTGGGTCAAGAGGCCCATAGTGACTGTCACCAGACAGAAAATGGGAGTCCTGTTTGTGGAAGACATGCAGCAAAAGGCCAAGAATACACCCCAGGACGGCTGCATTGAGAACTGTAGCCTCTGTATATTGGATACCAGCACCCGGCCCACCTTTCAACCACGCTGCCAGACAGTGGAGCAGCAACAGCAAAGGAGGTGGATTAGCAGGACAGCAACTGTGGGTTTCATTCGATTCAATTCAAATTAAAAAATCTAACTCATGTTGGCGTGGAATATCATCTTTTATCTGTTTGCATGTCTTGACACTCATGACACTGTCATAAAGCAACAGTCTTCATTCAGAGGCCTAATCAGTTTTCATGTGATTTATGTAGCTGTCCTGGATTAGATTGTATTAGCACCTGAAGGCAGCATGCCGGTGTGTAGTCTTTTCTGTGTATTCGTAATGCTGATCATCTGCTGACAGCAGGCTTGAGCCAGTCCAGTGAGAGCAGACATGTGCTTGGAAGGCACCACAAAGCACGAAGGATGCTGATTATGTACACTTTAAATTAATATGTTTTACCTGCAGTAATGTTGCTTCTTTTGCTATGGTGTCTGTAAATTCAGATTATATCTCACATATAATCAAGCTTTAAATTTAATAGAGATTTCACAAACTCAAAGAATTGAAATACTGTTTGTATTGAGCTGCAGCAAGGTTTAAGAATGCAGAGATCAAGTTTTTTATAAAGTCCCCAGAAAGTACATTGTTAAATATAATGTGATTATATTTATTTAGGCTCAGCTGAAGTAGCTGAGGGAACTTGACAGATTGAGTTGTCTGTTGAAATCATGTCAGACCTGAGCATAGAAAAAGAACCAATGGCGAGTACCAGTCACACAACAAAACATGAAGAACCTGAGAGGCGATACCCTGTCAGAGAAAGAAAAAAAAAAAAACAGATTATTTAGATGACTATGTATGTAGCATTGATGATGAAGAGCAAATAGCTAACATTGATTATTGTTACAGACTGATAAGTGGAGTACCTCAAACCTACAAAGAAGCTGTAACGTCTGTGAATGCAAAAGAGTGGGTTACAGCAATGGATGAGGAAATGCAGTCATTAAAGAACAATATTACTTTTTCCACCAACTTACCTGAGGGTAAAGCTGTAGTAGGGGGTAAATGGGTGTATGCAATCAAAAAGAATAGTGATGGATCAGACAAATATAAGGCTAGATATGTTGCTAAAGGATTCAGTCAAAAGAAAGGTGTGAACTATGATGAAACCTTTTCACCAACTGCTAGCATGATGAGCATCAGTGTTGATGCAAAAGGTAGCACAGGAGAACATGTTTGTTCACCAGATGGATGTAAAGACAGCATATTTACATGCTCCAATCAAATGTGAACTTTATATTGAACAACCAGAGGGCTACAAGTAGGAACCTCAAGAAAATTAAAGACTGGTGTATAAACTGCAAAAATCTCTTTATGGACTTAAACAGTCGGGCAGAAACTGGAACAAAATGTTGCATGACTACCTATGTGAAATCAAGTTTGTTCAAAACCCTGCTGATAATTGTGTTTACACAAAGATTAATGATACAAAACTGTGTATATCATTATATGGGTTGATGATTTGATTATTGCTGCCAGTGATACAAATATTCTTAAAGATGTAAAAGAGAAACTTGCATCCAAATTTAAGATGAAGGACTTAGGAAAGTTGACACATTTTCTTGGCATTGACTTTGAAAAAGAGGCTGACAGTGTTAAAAATGTCACAGTCGAAGTATGTGAGGAAAATACTGGAAAAGTTTGACATGCAGAACTGTAAGCCACAAACTACCCCTTGTGAGCAGAAACGTAATTATGATGATAATGCTGAAGTAATGAGTGATGTCAGAAAATACAGGGAGGCAGTAGGAAGCTTAATCTATTTGTCAACATGTACAAGACCAGATTTAACCACAGAGCAGTGGAATACTGTAAAGCATGTTTTTAGGTATCTAAGAGGCACACAAGACAAAGAACTATGTTTTAAAAGGGGTGCCTGTGATAACCTGTGATAACCTTATATATGCATATAATGATGCTGATTGGGCAGGTGATGTATCCGATCGAAGGAGTACAACAGGTTACTGTATGAGTCTAAATAAAGATGGTCCGTTAGTCTCATGGAAGACCAAAAGACAGCCTACAGTAGCTCTATCTACATGTGAAGCAGAGTACATGGCACTAGCTGCTACTATGCATGAACGCTTATACTTGAAACAACTGTTGTTCAACATGGATGGTCTGGATTATTTAGCTAAGATTCATGAGGACAATCAGGGTACCATATCCTTAGCCAAAAATCCTGTGTATAAACAAAGATTTAAACACATTGATATTAAATATCATTTTGTCAGAACAGTTGTAAATGAAGGAAAAGTCTTTCTAGAGTACTGTCCAACTAATGAAATGGTTGCAGATGTATTAACTAAACCAGCAACAAAGATTAAGTTGAAGAAGTATGAAATGTTTATGTTTGGCGAATCATGAATGTATTTTGGTTGAAATATTAAAGAGTCAGAGGAAGCTACCCAAATGTGAGCAAGTGGGGGTGTTGACATTATGAATGTGTTAGTGCTCTCATTTGTTGTTGTTGTTGTTTTTTTTCATTATTGGATTATTGTGTGTCACATCAGGTGACCTGTCTAATTGAACACACTCGTGTACAATAAAAGGGTGTGTCCTCCAAACAAAGGGAGAACAACACGAAAGCCAAAACGGTGTGAGTCTCTTGATGTCACGTTGAACGCTGTGCCAAAAACTGATTCTGCTAACAGGTCCATATGGATATGTGTATTTGTTATAAGTTGCATTGTGGTCCTTATTGTTATGTGTAGAGTGTTACGGGCTTCCCCTGTCTAACGCTGCTAACTCACTCATGGGGTCGGTCATGTGGGCGGGGGATCGGTGGAGCGGCAGCAGTAGGACCGGAAGTGTAGAAGTGTGTAAACCAAAGTTGGGTTAGCAGTGAAGCTAACCCAAATCCATTTTGTCTATTGACCAGTTTGTCCATTGAGTGTACCAGTTTGTTTGAGGAGTGAGCTGCAGTCTCAGGAATAGCAGCTCGTACTTATTCTAATAAACACTGTTTGGCGGTAATACAGCAGCAGTGTTCGCGTCATTCCCGTTCTGTTTCTAGCATTCAAAACAAATCCGTAGCAAAATTACCTAAAATCAGCACAAGACCCGCCCATGTCAGTAAGAAACCTTTTTTGCAGCCACGCCCACCCTCTTTGAACCCTCCTCAGGCTGCACCCTTTCTAAACACAGTCAAGCTAGCTAAACTGAGGCAGATGGTTTCCGTTCTGACCTATCAAAATAATAATTGAAATCAAGAAGCGTTTATTAGTTTTCTATTTCCACTGAGAAGAAGTTTATGTATTGATTGGAAAAAGAAAGTACACCCTCCGTGTAAAGTTTATCTCTTCTTCTAGTTTGAAATTTTGTCTACATGTACAAAAACACTCTACACATACGCTTTCTCATCCCACACTATCATTATTTATTAAACACAGATGAGAGCAAATGAAAAAGCAGTTAAAACTGAGAAATCTGAAATGGCCAGTGTTCTCAGAGTCATACATGTTTGCAGCATAATTAGGCTAGTCATGAGCTTAGGATTTGGATTTAAGATAACCAGAGTTTGCACTATTCTCTCCCTCGCTAATACTGAGACTCTGACGCATGCTTTTATTTCCAGATGCATAGATTATTGTAATCCCCTGCTTTCTGGTGTCCCTAAAACAAAACTCTGCCCCTTGAGTGCCAACCAAGACAAGAGCAGGCTCAGATCACATCTTATTTAAAATCACTGCATTGGCTACCAGTACATCTGAGGATTTACTTAAAGATTCTTTTAGTGGGTTTTAAATGTCTTAATGGTCTTGAACCATCTTATCTTGCAGAGCTGCTATTATTTTATAAATCTCTGCGAAACCTCTGCAGACCCTGAGATCCTCTGGCACGGGACTTTTAACAGTTCCACGAGTCAGAACACACACTTAGGGTGATGCTTCTTTCCAGTATTATGGCACCCGTTTAAGGAACAGTCTGCAGAAAATGTTGCTGTCTTTAAGAGTAGGCTCCAGATTCATCTTTTTAACAGTATTGTATTGAATCATTTTTTCTTAATCTGTGCATTTTCCATGCTGTCGTGTGTTTTTTATGTGAGGTTGTAGTGAGTAATTGTTTGATTTTGTTTGTTTTTATTGATCTGTACAGCACTTTGAGCTGCTTTCAGTATGTAGGGATGCTTTATCAATAAAATTGATTGACTGATTTTTTTTGTCTGAAAATAATCAAACATTGAATAACCTAAATATTGTCAGGTTCAGAGAAGTAACAGTAACAAAATGTGTTCGATTAGTTTTAAAGTTAAAGATTTTTATTTTGAAGTGATGGGTATCCTCGGAGCAACGTTGTTGTGAAATGATTCAAACTTGATTCAACTTCCTGAAAGATTGACAGGTCGTGCCTCTTGCTCGCTGGTGAACGCGGCTCTCGTTGTGCGAAGGAAGCGAAAACAACTGACATCAAGTTTTTCACGTTTAAAGAAGTCTGAAACGAGAGTGACTCGGTGTGAATTTTCCCCCCACGAGCCTGTGGGGTATAAGAGTCGTGCGGCCGCGGCAAGCAAAGTAAAACAGGAGGCAAACCCGTACGTTTGATGGCTGCCGGAGATGGAGCCCAGCTGCCGGCCACAGTAGCAGCCAGTCGGAGCGTGGAGAAAGCTCTGGAGGAGGCTGTCGCGAGTGGAGCTCTCAACCTGTCCAACCGAAAGCTAAAGGAGTTTCCTCGCAGCGCCAGGAACTACGACCTGTCCGACATAACCCATGCAGGTCGGTTGGTTTCGTCTTCTTTTAATGTTTTTTTTTTGTCTATAATTCAGAAAAAATCCAACTCTCGCTGTTACGAGAAGCGTCTTTTGTTTCGTCGCCACCTGCTTCTTTCTTCTAACGGGGAAGGAACATCCTCCCTCAACCCTCTGCGTTGCACAATACTCTGAAAAAAACTTCGCTGTTTCAGTTTCACTCGGGATTTTAACCACTGCTTGATTGTTCAAACACAAATGTAGTCTTTTCGTGTATTTCAACTTTAGTAAATGCTTGTAAGTGCAGCTTATCAATGTTGATGTAATCACTGGGGCAAACTGCGTTGCGTGTCGGGCATCGCCATTAGCTTGTAATTTCCAGCAGTTTTAAAAGTTTAATAATGAAGGTTTATAGCCGGCAGACCTGATTAACATAGTTGTTTTTCTTTAACACGCGCTGTTAGCTTTTAAGGAGATTGTACTGTTCTTTTAAAACAACAAACTATAATGGAGGAAAAACACAAGCGAGTTCCTCTTCCTCCCGAAAACAAGTGGCGAAGCCCTCAGAGTTTGGTAGGTTGTCTCTACGGTCGCCTCGAAATTCTTCTTCCCAAGATCTTGTTGATTTTACTCGTTTTTAGTTTGTAACCGGAGTCTCTATACTTTTTTTGTTTTGTTTCGAACAATTAGTTTCTCTAGTTTAGTTGTCAACATGACAGCCTCAAGTTGACCTGCTTCTATCTCGTATCTTACCTCCCTGAGAAAGACGGATCAGATCACTGCAGACGATTATGGACAACAGTAGTGAGGGACATTTGAAATATATTCAGTGGTTAATCTAAGAAAAAAAAAAAATAACTGGACAATGAATTGTGGATTTCAAATGCTGGATTTTGTGTAGTACAAAGTTTGTAAAAAGAGAAAACTGAAGGGAAAGAACCCTCCAATTCAGTTTTATTGTTATGTTACCAGAGGCTTAAGATTTGAGCTAATAAGCTGCTGTTAGGCAACGTGCTAAGAAACTGAAAACTGGACAGATTATGACAAAGATTCTCAAGAATTTGAGTTGCATAATGTGTTTTAGCCAGAATTCCACTCTGAGATCTCCATGCTTGGATGTATAAAGTTGTGGGTGGCAAACCAAGAATAAACAGTGACTGACATTAATCATTTTGAATTTTAAATGTGGTTACATTAATGTTACATTAATTCTGATGAATTATTTTTCTTGACTTTAAAATTAATAATTTTTTAGTTGAGGTGCTGCATGTTTGGACAATTATTCCATCTGGTCCTGGATGGTGTGCAGCTGGAAGAATTTTTTGGTTTCTCTTACTTGTTTGCTTCTGGACAGTTATTATGATATGTAACAGTAGCAACAAACTATTGTTTTTACAAGTGGGAGGAATTGCTCAAATAACACCTGAACTATGACAAAATTCCAGAGGAGGTGAGAAGGAGGATCATGGATCCAGAGTAGAGCGAGGTGAAAGAAGTTCAAAGGAAGTTCCTTCCATCATAATGGGGAAGGACTCAAACTCCTACCTCCATATCTCTGCCTAACTATTTTTATTTTTTATTTTAAACATCTTTTTTGTGGGTCAAGAGGCCCATAGTGACTGTCACCAGACAGAAAATGGGTGTCCTGTTTGTGGAAGACATGCAGCAAAGGGCCAAGAATACACCCCAGGACGGCTGCATTGAGAACTGTAGCCTCTGTATATTGGATACCAGCACCCGGCCCACCTTTTCAACCACGCTGCCAGACAGTGGAGCAGCAAAAGCAAAGGAGGTGGATTAGCAGGACAGCAATTGTGGGTTTCATTCGATTCAATTCAAATTAAAAAATCTAACTCATGTTGGCGTGGAATATTATCTTTTATCTGTTTGCATGTCTTGACACTCATGACACTGTCATAAAGCAACAGTCTTCATTCAGAGGCCTAATCAGTTTTTCATGTGATTTATGCAGCTGTCCTGGATTAGATTGTATTAGCACCTGAAGGCAGCATGCCGGTGTGTAGTCTTTTCTGTGTATTCGTAATGCTGATCATCTGCTGACAGCAGGCTTGAGCCAGTCCAGTGAGAGCAGACATGTGCTTGGAAGGCACCACAAAGCACGAAGGATGCTGATTATGTACACTTTAAATTAATATGTTTTACCTGCAGTAATGTTGCTTCTTTTGCTATGGTGTCTGTAAATTCAGATTATATCTCACATATAATCAAGCTTTAAATTTAATAGAGATTTCACAAACTCAAAGAATTGAAATACTGTTTGTATTGAGCTGCAGCAAGGTTTAAGAATGCAGAGATCAAGTTTTTTATAAAGTCCCCAGAAAGTACATTGTTAAATATAATGTGATTATATTTATTTAGGCTCAGCTGAAGTAGCTGAGGGAACTTGACAGATTGAGTTTTCTGTTGAAATCATGTCAGAAAATGTTTCCAGCGACTCCCAGAAACTATTTCACAGTACGGAGAACTGGCAGTTGATACTGTTGAGTTTTCTTTGTTGCTTTTTAGCAGGATCAGAAACGCGTTTTCACTAAAAACCAGGACAATAGGACACATCACCCTGTCCTTTCAATAGTTCCCTGTAGCTCAGAGAATAAACTTTAAAATACTGCTATTAGTTTATAAATCACTCAACAATTTAATTGAAGATCAGCTATTTTATCAGCCTTACAGAACTCTCAGGTCTTCTGGTTCTCGCCTCCTCTGGATCCAAAACCAGAACCAAACATGGAGAAACAGCATTCAACTTCTATGCACCACAAATCTGAAACAAACTTCCGGAAAACCGGAAAACCGCTGTAACAGAGTACCTTTAAATGAAGACTAAAACCCTACCTGTTTAGAGTTGCTTTTGAAACATTATGACACTTAATCAACATTTTGATGTAATTGCACTTGACGAATTGTCATGCTTCAATTGTTGACTGTGTGTTCTATGACTCTGTATTTTTTTATATTTATGATGTAAAGCACTTTGCTTTACATTTTTGCTGAAATGTGCTATACAAATAAACTTGATTTATAGAAATTATCTCTGACATAACAGTAGTGTGGCTGATCAACACAAGGTGAATGTGTGTGTCTGCAGTGGGGCTGTTAATCAGATTAATTGTGATGAATCAATTATTGAAATAATTGTCAACTTAATTTAGTAACTCATTAATTATTAATTGGAGTACACGAGCCCATAAAAGCCATTTCTTGAAAGAACAATATAATAAGAGCTGGAGCTAGGCTAAAACGCTTTCCATTTAAGATAAAAGCACTTTTGTAAATCTTTTATATCTAGAAAAAAATATTTTTGGGTAGAAAAACTCAGAAATGAGTTTGTTTCATTTGGTTCAAATTACTGTAAAGACAGCTCATATTAAGCACCGTTGCTACCCAGTTATGAATTGGTTAATAATCAAGCTCTACACTGTATTGATGTTCAGGTCAGCGGAAAGAGCTGAGTTTGTCGCATGTTTTTAGTACAAGTGATCAAGCATTCACTAACAAATTGTTGTTATTGACTTTCAGGCAATAAAATGTTTGTTCTTATTTTAAAAAAAAGAATTAAATGTTTTGTTTATTTGCATCTTTTAATACATTTCTAAAATTTTAAGGGAATACATGAAAAACCAGCTGAATGTACCAGTTTCTTTATTCGATTTGTCAGACTTAAAATGTTCTGTGTTTGGTTAAATATTGAATATTGCAAGCTCTGAATATGTTGGGGAGAGAAATTGATGAAGATGTGAAACATATTACAACCACTTCTATAAATGACTAAAAACTATGTAGAAATTTGTATTCAACTTAAATTAAGTAATGAATTCTGCAGAAGTGTTAAACTGGAAATAAATTGAGGAAGGTCCTGAATGTTCAGGACATTTCTAGTTTCAGCTTTTCATTGGTTAATCTGTAAACCTGAGACACTAGCAGGTGGTTTTCCAAACCATTTTCAGTTTCAACAAAGTAGTTATGTTTGTTTGTTTTTTAATAGTTTGGAAGTGGATTTGTAATCACATCAGTCAATATCCTGGGCATTCATAAAGTGTAGTCTTGCAGAGTGGATTTTTTTTTTGTGATGGTCTGCAAAGAGGAACATAATTTTTCATTGTGAAGGCAAAACTTTTGTCAGGAAAGACACGTTTGACTGTGAAATATTTCATCTGTATCAGGAATACCTCCACTTCCAATGAAAGCAAAGACCAACCTCAGGCTAGTCACTGTGACTCATTTGTTCTTCTTCATCTTGAATTGGAGGGGTCTATTCCTTAGTGAGGACAATTGTAGACGGCCATTCTTGATTTCATGTTTCTCCAGCGCTCAGGCTGTTTGTGGTCATGTGAAGTGAGTAATGAGGAGCTGTGTGTTCCTCTGACATACCTGGTAGTTATAGCTGCTGTCTCTCAGAGGCTCCTCCTTGGCTCTGTCTGCTCTGTTGAGATTATCAATGCTGCTAAATTTGATGTAATTGTTTCAGCATACATAAATTTAAATATTTTTAATTGTTTAACATTTAAACGTAAGACTTTAAGGAGCTGACAAGTTTACTTTGTCAAAGTTAAAAAAAACAATCTTCATATTTAGATTGTTTTATTGCAGTCACAATCTGATGCTATGAGTTTAATCTTTGAGTTTGAGCTCTGTTTGTTCACAGATACAAATTAGTAAACTGCAATTGATTTTTAGGTTGGAAATTAAACTCTCTCTCTCTCCCAGATTTCATTAAATCCAACACAGAAGTTGTTAGAGGTGCTAACTGTTTTAGCAGCAAAAAGGGCCCCTAAGTCAAATTCAGCTCCAGGCCTCATACAGCCTTTGACCAGCCCTGTAAAATGTACTAAATCTGCTGCACTGTGCGCAGAGATGTGCAACAAATGGGAGATTTAATTCAACACTGCTAATGTGACTTAAGTAGCTCTTCCATTTCGTCTGTTGAGTTTTAATAAGCGCCACAGAAACTGTATATTAAACCATGGCGGGCCGCCAGGCTTATAATGCACTAGGGGAAACCTTGGATTT